TACAAAGATTAAAATAATCACTCTGCAGTAAAGAAACAGAGCAGACAATGTAACAGCTAATTTAACCAACACTACCAGGAGTATGACACCGGTATTATCCACCTCTTGGTCTGCTGAATTGAGGAGGTCACAGCATCTCTTTTGTGTTATTTTTGGTTTTAAAAAAATGTATAATCTAAATTGGACTGTGAGAGAAATCAGATAAAATCAAATTGAAGATCCTTCTGAAACAACAAAAACTGGCAATACTGCTCAGAAAGTCAAGGTCATGAACACCAAAGACTGACAGCTTGGAGAAGGCTAGCAGGAGTCAGAGACTAGACCCCATAGCAGAGGAGGTATTAGCATGTTACTTAACAGTACATCCGTGTTCATTCCCAGTTTCAGCAACTGTACAATGTACACTGGGGAGGCTACAGGGAGGGAGAAGGAGAACTAACTCTGCACTAACTCTACAAAGTCTTAGGAGTCTAAAATCATTTCAAAACACTTTAGGAACTGAGAGCAAAATACACTTCAGATAAGACCTGAGGGAATTTGCCACCGACAGACATGCAATGGAAAAAAAAAAAAAAAAGCTAATGGAAATCCTGCAGGTCAGACAAAAGCAGAGGGATCCAGACCTAAAGAAAGAGTTCAGAGTGCTGGGGTAGCATGATGTGTGGTAAGAATCAAAGCTAAATATACGTTGTTTCCGTTTCTCTAAGATAAGCAACTTTTCATTGGGCATGGAGGCACATACCTGTCATTTCAGCAGTAAAAGGGGTTTTGTGAGTTTGAGGCCAGCCCAGACTTTATGAGACAAACAAAACAACACAGGTAACTTTTTGAAGCATAAAATTAATGGTCTGCTATAGAATTAGCAGTAAAGTATATTGCAAAACATGTAGGCTGAGGACAGAGACAGGCCTGTGCTGTTTTAAGCTGTTTGAATTTTCTTAGGAATATGGTAATAATTAATGGTAAATATGATAAGCTCAAGATATTCTGTAAACCCTCAACTATAGGACTAGGCTAAAAACTAAAAATATTTTTAAATGGATATATTTAATAAACCTAAAGAAGAGATAAAGCAATTTTTTAATTCAATTAATCTAAAGATAAATAGAAGATAATTAGCAAAAGTCCAGACCCAAATTTCAAGACAATATGACACACTAAGTGTAAATGTTTTACATACAGTAATTAAAAGGCATAGACTGTCAAGCAGGCTAAAATACAATAACCTATATACATGCTCTCAACAAAAGGCACTTATTTAAATGTGGATAGTTTGAAAGTAAGAGAAGAGAAAAGTCTATCATGGAAATACTAAGCCAATAAAAACTGGAAGGTGCCCGTCAGTATCACAGAAAGTAGACTTCAGGGCAAAGTAATTATCTTATAAAGAAGTCTAATCATTAAACTAAACATTTTGAAACACATGCAGAGACAGAATTTAAGAAGCACTGGCAGGTGCCGGGCGGTGGTGGCGCACGCCTTTAACCCCAGCACTCGGGAGGCAGAGCCAGGCGGATCTCTGTGAGTTCGAGGCCAGCCTGGGCTACCAAGTGAGTTCCAGGAAAAGGCGCAAAGCTACACAGAGAAACCCTGTCTCGAAAAAAAAAAAAAAGAAGCACTGGCAGAATTTAAGGAAGAAACGCAATCTTAGTTACAACCATAATTGGAAATTTCAGTAATGGTCAGTAAATCAGTAAAAGAAGACAGAACCCTACAAAGAACTAACTAGACCTGACATTTATAGAATGCCACATTGGTCATACCAGAATACAAATCAAGTGTACATGAAATGCTCACCAAGACAGATAACATGTGGGCCACAAGAAGAAAATGTTTCATACAATTTAAAAGACCGAGGGAGTAGCAGGAGAATGACCTGGTGCCAAGCCTGGCAGCTTGGGTTCAATTCCTAGAACCTACATGACAGGAAGAGAGAGCCATTCCCAAAGAGCATTGTCCACTGCCCTCCACACACACCATGGCACGTGAGTGCCCACCGCAACACTGACACAAACAAACAAAGGTGTAATAAAAATGGTAATCATGTCTTATAAAAATTAAAGAGCTTGAGATAATTAAAGCCTATAATTTCCAGCATTAACAAAATAAAATTGAAATCAATAACAGGAAGTATTTAGAGAATCTCAAAATAATTGTAAAACTAAACAATACATTTATAAATAGCCCACGAACAAAAGAATTCTCGAAGAAAAGCAGAGAAGACTGTAAGGGATAATAAAAATGCAAAATATAAAACTATCTGAGCGGTATTCAAAGCAGAGCTCCCAGGGAAATTTATTGTATTGAGGTTTCAGCTGGGAGGAAACTGTACAATGGAGACCCTGCCTCCGAGCATGGTGGGAGAGAGGATCACCTCTGCCCTTCACATGTGAGCCACTGCCACAGGCCTGGTAGAAATAAAGATACTCTAAAGAGATATTCAGATTACTCCATACGACCAGCTGTTGAAACAATGGACCCCCAAAGAAATAGGAATTTCCCCAGGACTCTCATTCTGGGGGAAGGAAAAGAACCAGCCAGAAGGGAGCTTGTCACTCAGAAAGAGATGTCACACAGCTCTAACAACTTGTCAGACCACCCACCACACAGCCTGAAAGCGCAGCCCCAGCAGACGATGATGGCTCAGTGGTGGGCAGGACCATGCTTTGAAAGGGCTGTTGACTTATGGGCATCCTAGGCCCTCCACTTAAACATCGTCGATCTCTCTTCAGGACCTTTGAGGGGTTTGCTGGGTCTCTCTGCCCCTCCCCAACGGGGACACATGGAATAAATGTCTTTCAGGGTTTTTTTCTGCTTTCAATTTTTGATTTGTCTCTTTTAATTGGTTTATTGAAGGGAGATGGCCGAATCTGACTGGGTTGTTTAATAATACCATGGTGCATGCATGTCTACTACACTTACACTCACACACATAATAACAATATTTTCAATGTTATTAATATATTAATTATAATTATAGTTAATTATAATTATAGTTAATTAATATATTAATAATAATATATTACCAGGCATGGTGGAATACACCTTTAATCCCAGCACCTGGGAGGCAGAGACAGGTGAGATCTCTGTGAGCTCAAGGCCATCCTGGTCTACAGAGTGAGTTCAGGACAGCCTGGGCTACACAGTGACACCCTGTCTCAGAAGAGGAGGAGGATAAAATAAAAGAACAACAACAAGAACAAACTCTTAAATATAAAAAAGTACATGAAAAGGAAACTAAATCTGAACATAGCAGCCCTTGCTTATAATTCTAGCAAGATCCTATCTCAGGAAAAAAAGTACTAAAAAGAAATATAATTATACCCATCAGAACATCTAAAGGGTCTCCCAATGAGGAACTGCTACTTCAGAATTGCTGGTGAGAAAGTTGGAAATCACAAAGGTCACATGATCCTAAGATTCCCAAGAACAGATGCACCTACAAACCTACAGCTTAGCAGTAAGGCGCCTTCCTCTTGTCCCCGACCTGGAAATAAACCCAAATGCCTATCAAATGCAGGATGCATAAACAAATAGTGGTATATTCATATAAAGGAACACATGTCAGCAATAACATACAGATGACGAAGCCACACAACAAACCAAGATGACTCTCTGGGCACTATTGATTTATTTACTTTTCTGTCTGCAGCAGGAGGGTTGAGGACAGAGAGAACTGACCACAAGGATGCACACAGGGCTTTGGGGACGGATAGTGGGTGTGCTCATCTCACTAGGTCTGAAATGCCCTCAGATCTAGTGCTGACTCTGCCCATTTACTCCTGAGACAGAAGAGTTGAAGAGACCAGAGGGAAGGGTGAGCAGGGCCAGGAGAGAAAGTGGAAGCGCTGATAGCTGTTTTAAAAGTTAACTTTATTGAAGCAAAATTTACACATAATAAGTACACCTGACTCAATAAATACATAGATCCATGTGTCTACCATCCATCCATCTGTCTATTCTAGCCCCCATGCTTCTCTTTAAAGATGAACAAGCTGGGGTTTGTTTTGGTTTTCCTTCCTTCCTTCCTTCCTCCCTCCCTCCCTCCCTCCCTCCCTCCCTCCCTCCCTTCCTTCTTTCCTTCCTTCTTTTCTTTATTTATTTCTTTTTTTTCCCCAAGACAGGGTTTCTCTGTGTAACAGCTCTGGCTGTCCTGGAACTCACTCTTTAGACCAGGCTGGCCTTGAACTCAGAGATCCGCCTGCCTCTGCCTCCCAAGTGCTGAGATCAAAAGTGTGCATCACCACTGGCCAGCAAGCAGGCTATTTTTGTGTTTGGTAAATCTTAATCTTATTTCAAATTCTAGATTCTTATATTAGACCCCAAAACAACATTGAGGTACTCACAATGCCCAGACTACAGTAAAACCAAAAAAGGTAGCAGACTTATCCCAGAGAGACCAAGGTTTATGGAAGTTACCCATGCTCTGCAGAACTTGTCAAAGGGTCTGGAATGGTCTGAAATTAATCTTGTCAAAAACAAAAACTAAACTAAACATTGGTTCTGAGTCCCACTTTGCCATCACTGCTATTTCAAACCAGCAACCAAGTTTCTGGAGTATCTTATGCTCGAACACACTGCTTTCGAGGTGGAAGGGATGGACCACTGGAAAGTGGATGCTTCGGGTTGTTAAGCCTGCTTGCTGGTCTTTAAGCAGCCCAACTGTGCTGTTGGCTGGGGAGCCCACCCCAGAACCACCCCCCCCCCCATGGCCCATTCCACTTGTGGGCTCCACAACTGCTCCACCTTCCTGGTTTGCTGGTTCCCTGACTCCATGATCCAGCTCTAGCACCTGTCGCCTCAGTTTACCTACCTGTTACCCTGCCTGTTCCACACTGCAAGCTGCCTCAATGGCTGCCAGTACTCACAGTGTACAAGCAAGTCGCTCAGGCTCCTGGTGCCCCCTTGGCCAGCTCCCAGCACACAGGACCAGCAGCACAGCTGCAGTCACAAGCATACTTATCACTCAAGGGCCACAGGCCCGGCGTGCTGCTATCTACCTGAGCGACAAAGAGCTGGAACTCCTCAGGCAGAATCCACGAGCGAGGGTAGAAGTTGTACTCCTCTGGAAACAGGTTCTGCATGATTCTCAGTGCTCTGCTCAGAGTGATTTTCCGCACCATCTCCGTCATGCCTGGGGAGAGGAGAAGCCATGAGGCTCGACCAGAGCAGGCCACCAGAGACTTCTAAAGCCTCCCGCCCACCACGGTCACTTTCTAGGGCAGCAGAGACTCGAGGATTAGAAGGCTCTGCTAAAGTAAGGAGAAATGGTCGATTTATTCCCTTCCCTATTGAAGTGAGAAGATGAGTTTTTGCCTCCTTTTGAGTCTTGAGTCTGAGACTGTCCTTTGTCATCTTTGTGGGTGATGAAGTTCTCTCACTTAAAACTGAGCCCCCTCTTTATTACATGGTCAGTGCATGTTATTTCAGGGACCCTATCTATCCTGTTCCGGAGAAGATTGTCTAGTGGACTCTGGTGACATTATGAGAAACTTAATTAAGTTGCTTTGTTTTAATCTTTCATGACTACTAAAAGTATAAAATAGAAAAACACATGCCTTTCAGCATAAAATCCATCTCCTTGAATCAAGGACAGGAAGAGGGGAAAGCATCCATAGCATAATTTATGATATTAATTATGAGGGGATGCGGTGCTCAGCACTATGGGAGTGAGTACCGGCTTGCACATCTCCTGACTCTCATTCATTTATTTGCCCAGAGAGAAATGTCCACTTAAAAATATGTGGACATTTGGGTCTTTATGTGTGTTTGTGTACATGTGTGTGCCTGTGTGCATGTGTTCACGTGGGTAGGTGGGTATATGTGGTTGTACATCTGGAGGGCAACCTTGGTATCATTCCTCAGGAGCTGTCCACCACTTTTCTCACTGTGTGTGTGTGTGTGTGTGTGTGTGTGTGTGTGTGTGTGTGTGTGTGTGTGTGTGTAGGCCTTTAGCTGTTTGAGTCTCCCTCCATTGCTCTCCACTTTATTCATTGAGGCAGAGTCTCTCGCTGAACCCAGAGCTCAACAATAGTTAGTCTGGCCAGCCAGCTTGCTCTGGGGCTCCTGTCTTCCAAGCACTGACATTGCACACAGGCCACCATGCCCACTCGGCATTGACATGGGTTCTGGCGACCCCAGCTCCAGTCTTAATGTTTACACAAGAGCTTTACTTGTTAAGACATCTCCCTGGTCCTGCTTTGGTTTTAGAGACAGGGTCTCTCACTGGTCTGGAGCCCAACAATTAGGCTAGCCTATGGGGCCAGTGAGGCCCAGGGATCCGCCTGTACTGACACATGGCACTGGGACTACAAGTACCCACTCCCACATCTGGTTCTTTGGCATAGATTTTGGTGATCAAACTCAGGTCCTCATGCTTGTGTGGCACACTTTATTGTCATGGAGGTCACTGGCATTTTTTGCATGCAGCTCATGTAGATATGGGGGTGGTGTCTTCTCACACTGCAGCCCTGCTCAGGGTTATCTGGGTTTCTAGCAGAGTTAAGGCCATGCTCCCCAGTAAATATGTGAAGGGAAGTGATGGCCAGTGTTAAGTCTCAACCCTGGGACAAAAGGCTGAGGTGCCTATTTAACATATCAAAGAGGACCAGGCCCCCAGACTTTCCCAGCATCCCTATCTGTTACAGGGTATGGCTGGCATACCCTGCCCTCTGTCCTGAACTCTCCAGCCCCAGGGGCTGGGCTGCCCTCCCCCCCGAGGCTCTTCCCTATGCAATCTAGACGTTTTGGTTACTCACCCTACTGTACCTTTGTCCTCATGGCTGCTGCACATGGTTCCCCTCTTTCCCCCTCTTCCACACGGCCCAGCTCAGTCTGGTCGTGTCCACTCTGGACTCTCCCAGATGTCCTTGCCTCGACTTATGCTCTCCCTTTATCTACAGTAAACCTTCTCCTCCACCATACCCAGAAGCAGTCATGCAAAGCCCCACAGGCTCCATGCCCTGAAGACTCCACCCCCGCCCAAAGACCCTGTAGGTTCTGTGCCCTGCAGTCTCCATGCCCCTCAGGCTCCAGGCCCCAGAGGCTCTGTGATTTGCCTCTCTCTACTTGAGAGCCTCCCTGGGCTCCAGAACCCACTGTGACTTGCAGTGGCTGCCCATCTCTTTCCCTCTGCTCAAAAGTTTGGCTGCATTCTACAGCTGAGAGCTTACGTGATTTTCTGACCTCAATGTTGGTAACTTGTCTTTTGCTCCTGGTGGCTCAGTGGCTCCCTGAGCCACACACAGAGCTGAAAGCAGCTTTGGTCTCATTCTCTCTCATGTATCACCTCTCTCCTACATTGTTTCCATTCCTCCTGGCCTACCCAAAGGGCTAGGGTCTTGCTGTCTATGACAATAGCCTGCGTCTGGGCTCCTGCCATCTGTCACCATACTCTTGAGGCTGACTGCATCCCTGGGTCACTCACTGAGGTCTACTCTTAGACATTGACTAAGGCAGCAAGAGCCCCTGGACTCAAGTCACAGCTACTGATACCAAGTGCTTGCCTCCGGCTACTACTCTGAGCCCCCAGTTCTTCTGTTAGAGTCACAGGGCCTGATGGGTCTTACCCCATTGGAGTTAACAAAGAGCCTACAGGTTGGTCCTCGGCCTTGCCCACGTCACTGGTTCAGGAAGAGTGAGTGAGTCATAGTAAGTGCTGTGCTGGAAAAAGGACATGCAACCTGGGGCAGGCAGGCTGGTGAGATCCTGGAGGAAAGGGGTGTGCCTCTCCCCCACACCACACAGGGAGCTAGGCTGGTGCAGACAACTTCAGCATGCCACTCATTCAGCTGAAGTACCATTTATAACCACAATTCCTGTCATTAACTAGAGAGCCCACATTACAACTGCCAAACAACACATTTCCCCACCCTGCTTCTCCTCCATCTTCACCATCATGGCTCACCTTCTGTGCCAAGAGTGCCTCAGATTCTTACCTGCATCCGTTTCCTCTCTCAGCTGCCTCCAAAGTGACCCTCTGGCTGACCTTCCTAAAGTGCAAGCTGGCTACGGCACACTTTGGCTTCCAAGGGTCTTCGGCTCCTAGTGACTTCCAGCTACAGCAGTGCTGCCCTTGGGTGGGTCCCTGCTGTCACTTCCCCACGGCCCCACTGGACGGACCCTCTGGCTGTCTACATCACCTGCTCTCAGCTGAATGGGTGGCATGCTGGAGCTGTCTGCACCGGCGCAGCTCCCTGTGTGGTGTCGGGGAGAGGCACACCCCTTTCCTCCAGGATCTCACCCAGGTTGCATGTCCTTTCTCCAGCACAGCACTTACTATGACTCAGTCACTCTTCCTGAACCAGTGATGCTGACTGGTCACCTCACACACTCCCCTCTGAAGCTCCCTTTCCCACCTACAGAGAGGCCCCTGACTGCCGTGTGCCACCTCACATCTCAGACCTGGGAACGCAGTAGAAAACTGCTGACTGCAAGCTAAGAAATGACAATTTTGGACTTCATTAAAGCAAAGACAGAGTCAGGTGTGGTGGCATACCTCTGGAATCCCAGCACTTGGGATGTGGCAGAGGCAGGAGAATCACAGCCAGTTTGAGGCCAGCCAGATTGACATCGTGAGTTCCAGGCCATCCAGAGACCTTGTCTCAAAACCAAAACCAAAATAAAGACAACAACAACAAAGCCACCAAAACAAAGACCTATCTAAATCAGGATATTTTTAATGAAAAATCTTAATACATCAGTTATGATAAAATGAATCCTTGGACAAAGAAAATTACCCATAGAAAAGCAAGTAACGCTGGGCAGTGGTGGCGCACGCCTTTGATCTCAGCACTCGAGAGGCAGAGGCAGGCGGATCTCTGTGAGTTCGAGGCCAGCCTGGACTACAAAGTGAGTTCCAGGAAAGGCGCAAAGCTACACAGAGAAACCCTGTCTCAAAAAACCAAAAAAAAAAAAAAAAAAAGAAAGAAAGAAAAGAAAAGCAAGTAACATCTAATACAGTGACAAGACAAGATAAATTCCATTATGAGTGTCTTAGAGTTCTCAGTTTATGCTGTATTTCTAGCACATCCTCTCCTGGAGCATCCACCAGAACTCACTCCAGGGGATACACCATGCATGGGAAATGCACATTTAAGAATAATGGGATATGTGTGAGGCAGGAGAAAGACCCAGACACCACAGGAATCAAAAGTCAGTCAGTGCCGGCTGGAGTTACCCGCTGCCTTGGCGGGTATGTCTGTCCAAGGCGGAGGGTGTGGCAGCACTGTCCCCTCCAGGATGCTCCCACATAATCAACTGTGTCATCACAGTTAATTAACTGCTATTTCCAAAGTGGAGAATTACGAGTTCCAGTCACTGGCATGTTGAATACAGGACGGAGCACGCTTGCCTCTTTGGAATGAATGTTCTTGTAGTAAGCTAGTCCTTCAGGAGCACTTTTTCCTCTTTAGCTACTTCTCTGTCGCTCTCAGCCATCGGGGAGACAGGAGCAGAAAGAAATGGAGAGGCAGACTCACCGATGGATTGTGAGTCGGGTCATACGAACTTGGTGCCTATGCAGTGCTGTTTGTGTGCAAACTGTTTTCTCCCACGACCTCAAAAAGTCCTTTTCTTTTTTCTTTTCTTTTAAAGAAGTAGCCTTTTGTGAGCAGCAAGACAGAAAACAATTGTAGCGAGCTCATTAAAGCAGTGTGCAAAGACCCTGGCTGCAGGGCTCTCTCTCTCGCTCTCTAACAAAACCCTTTCTCCTCTCTGAGAATAAATTTGACCTTGGGATAACTTCCAGCTCTGTTCCCCTCAAAACCAACAAAGGTGGGACATCTGCTGTGTTAGCAAAGAACAGGGCACACGGCTAACATGAACTCAGATTGGTAAGCTGCATGACCACCAGGCAGGAAGCTGAAGCCCCAGGCTTTCCTGAGTGACAATCCTTATGACTGGGCATAAGCCTTGCAGGGGTCCTCAGATGCATGAGAAATGCTGGTACCTGTGGGCATCCCAAGACAGATGTAGACCTTGTCTTCTTGTGCCTTATCTTTTACTGAGGGCCAGAAACAAGTCCCTAGAACTTTTGCAAATATTCTACTAAAGATAAATGCTCCATACTGACTGGCAGCCATGTTGTGCTTCCTACCCTGTACCCTCCCAAATGAACCAAGCACTTACTGCCCATGCTAGCAACCTTGTGTGTCTGAGTGATTAAAAGCCCTGTTGAGGCCGGGCGGTGGTGGCGCACGCCTTTAATCCCAGCACTCGGGAGGCAGAGCCAGGCGGATCTCTGTGAGTTTGAGGTTTGAGGCCAGCCTGGTCTCCAAAGCGAGTTCCAGGAAAGGCGCAAAGCTACACAGAGAAACCCTGTCTCGAAAAAAAAAAAAAAAAAAAAAAAAAAGCCCTGTTGAATGTGACAAAACTAGCCAGTGTGTAGATATGTATATATGGATGTTGTTTTTTCTGAGAGGTGGTGTTTTTGTTGTTTGTTTTGGTCTTGAGACAGGGTATCACTCCATGGTTTGGGCTAGCTTGCAACTCATCATGTTACCCAGGCTTGCCTCGAATGGCAATCCTCCTGTCTCAGCTTCCCAAGTGCTGGGATTACAAATGTAGCCACCATATCTGCTAGCTGAGAGCATTTTCTTGAAAGTAGAGGATAGGATACTAAATAAAGGGCAAATTGTTCTCCCTCCAATACAAGTTCAATAGATAAGAGATGAACAGAAGGTACTCTGCTATGGTAACTGCATTGTGAGGCTGCAATATAAAAATGATGGTCATGGTTAAAGTCTGAGAAAACTGGGGCTGGAGAGACAACTCAGGGGTGAAGAAAACCTTCTGTTTTTCCAGAACTGAACCCAGGTTCAGTCCTCAGCACCCACATGGTAGCTCCAACCATTTGTAACTCCAGTTTCAGGGAATTTGATGCCCTCTTCTGGCCTTCACAGGTACTGCACACACATCATACATATACATACATACATACATACATACATACATACATACATACATACATACCATACATGTAAAAGGCTCATGTACATAAAAAAATCAAACTTTGAGAGAAAATATAATCTTAAATGAGGGATGGGCCAGGTGGTGGTGGCGCATGCCTTTAATCCCAGCACTTGGGAGGCAGAGGCAGGTGGTTCTCTGTGAGTTTGAGGCCAGCCTGGTCTACAAAGTCAGTTCCAGGAAAGGCTCCAAAGCTACACAGAGAAACCCTGTCTCGAAAAACCAAACCCCCCCTCAAAAAAAAAAAAAAAACAAAAAAAAAAATGAGGGATGGAACTTGAGTGATTTTTCTCCTTTAAAATTATTTATTACTGTATTGTAATAGAATATAATGTTGCAATATAATGCATTAACAAAATTAATGTGAGGCTTGTATCTGGAAGCTCAACTAAATGCTCCCTCTTCCCTAAGGAGTCCTACTACCCTTTGCCTCTGTCAAACAAGACCTTCAGGATAGTGACTGTAGAGGAGATAGAGATAGGGGCAGAAAGACAGAAAAGACGCGGACATGTAGGCTGAGCCCCGCAAACAGAGGTGATAGTAACTATTTCCTGTCACCCCGTCCTCATCGCAGGGTAAGTCTAGAGGCTGTCCACAGCCTATGGCACTTAGACACTTAGAGTGGAGACCAGAGCAGCTCACTCTAAGTACCTTCAATTATGGTACTTGAAGAGAAAGCAGATGGGGTCTTCATTTCTGTGATCTGTTCCCAGAACCCTGGTTCCCTGCTCGGGAAAGGCTGTATTTCTTTCTTTAGACACTGTAGTTCCATCAATGGACTTCCTGTGCCATATCTCTAACAAGTTCAAAACATTTTGTGTATGTTTACATATGTGTGTGGTATGCATGTGTGTGCTGGCAAACATGCCTATGTATACACACATGTATAGATGCCCACAGGTTAATATTTGGTATCTATTTCCATCACTACCCATCTCAATTCAATAGGGCAGTTTCCGCCACTGAGCTTGGAGCTCACCCATTCAGCTAGTCTGGCTAGTAGCTTGCCCTAAGGATCCTTTGTCTCTGCCCCTAGGAAGCTGGGGTTACAGGCAGACCACCATACTTGGAGTGCTGGGGATTCGAACTCCAGTCCTCAAGTTTGCACAGCACACACTTTACCCACAGAAAGCACATCTTTACCAGTGAAGGTCAGTCTGCATCTTCAGACCCTCAGGAGTGTTAGTTTTCATGGTTCTCCGGGGACTTCTTCCAGCTAGGCAGAGCATGGGCAGACATTCTCAATTAAGAGTCCTCACAATTGGTCTGAAAACATTGTCGTGTTCTTGTGGAAGACTATGTTCTGGACCTAAGGATACTTCTAAAGGCCCAACAATAACAGCAGATACCTGGAAATTTGTTCACTTGACCGGAGAGTATGTCATTGTCGTGAAATGAAACTCCGTGCCAGTAGATGTCACAAGGCAAGCGCCGGCCAAATGGGAACTAGAAAAAGAGGGGAAAATGTGATTCATGGTAAGAACAAGAGGTGTGGCACCCACATTCGGGGCTCAGGAGTTACAAATGCCTGGCGATAGGTAAACATCCCAAAGCTTAAACCTCAAGGCAAGCAAGTGAGGAAACAGGCTCACACAGGTCACATCGCTCAGAGCAGGGTGGATGCACTGCTGTGTGGCAAGCACTGTTTTGCTTTAACAAGCCTCCTGACTGCTTTATAAAGGATTGTTTTCATTTTACTGATTAAAAACTTGAGGTTGAAAGGAGTCGTTTAATATGCCACAGTTCATGCAGAGCTGGTGTGTATGTATGGGGCGGGGGCAGGAGCTGTTCAGATTTAAACCTAGGACAAAACAACCCAAATCCTAAGTCCACACTTCCCTTTCTCTGAAAATGGCAACCCTCAATCTGGCCCCACAAAACAGGCAGTCAGTCCCTCCCTCCCTCTCCCACTGCCTCACACACAACTCCTCACACAGGGCAGGAAGCATCCTCAGCTGCTGAGACAGTCCCTGGGCCTTAGTGCAGATGTTTTGAATTTATAAATGAACGATCCAGGCAAGGTCATCTGACTCAAACTGAGCTAATGAGCGTCTGCCTTCCGCGAACTTGGACGTCAGAGATGCCAGGCAGCCTCTGCTGGCCCCTGGCCCCAGAGCAGTGAAAAGACAGAACTGAACAGCTGCAGATCCCTGAGTGTGGGAGGAGGGCCAGTCCATCTGCTGAGAGCAGGGCCAATCATGGAGAGAAACAGTGAGACAGAATGACCCTGGTTCCTCAGGACTGTTCTCCCCAGCCTGGCTGCCCCACCTGCCCTTGGGTCCTATAACATCTTCCCAGTGTTCTCATCTCCTCTTTGGTACAAGCTTTATGGTTTCAATTATTTTCAGCCAGAAAACCCCTCACCAAGACCAAATGGCCTGTTCTTCCTGCTACATTCCACCACCCTTAACGTCATTAGCAGTTCTGCATCTATAGAAGTTCTTTAAAATGTGACTCAGATGACCTTGTTAACGGGAATGTGAAGACCCGCTCGCTTGTATTTAGAACTTGCTTGTTAAAAGTCCAAATAGAGAGAGATGGCCGTACATTAAATAAACCATTTGGTTCCCCATTTTGAGACTACACTTCATCAGAATTTTTATCTACTGAGAGTTGAGGGCTACATCCTGATGGAATCACATGGCGTGACTAATGAAATGGTGGTAGGGATGCTTCCAGCCATCCCAAATTAAAACTGAGGCCAACAGACTCAAATCCTTTAAAAAGCTCTGCTACAGCGAGGCATTTGCTATTACATGTATGGGCATGAACAACTTGTATGTATAATTTACAGCTTTTTGTTCATTTTCTTTGCTTCCAATGGGTGGCAAGTTATTTATTCAGCAGCCATAAATACCAAGAATTGGAACATATGCTGCCTCCTGCCAACTGTTAAGTCTAATACAGAAAAGGCAAAGACAGCATGAGGGGGCTCTAAAATGCAGACTGTCCAAGCAACTGGACCCTAATTGGAGTGGCTTTGCTGCCCATCATTAGTGACCAACACTAGTGTGCTGCTGATAACACTTTTCACCGTGCCACTGCCCTCTAACCCTTAAAACTGGGCATGGTGGCTCACACACATATTTGAAGAACTTGAGATAGGAGTGCTGTCATGAACTCAAGACCAGCCTGGGCTACAGAGTAAGACTTGGTTTTATAAAAAACAAAAGCAAGCAAACAAACAAAAAAAGAAAGTACAAAGAGTAAAAAACAAATACTTTTAGCTCTTTAAGTTAAAAAATATATTTTTTTCCAATAACAGTTATGTTCCAGACTCTATCTGGGTGCTAGGAATATAGCACAGCACAATTTTAAAGACACCTGTTCAGAGCGTGAACATACTCAGCAGTAAAAAGCTGAAGTCTTAGCCTCTAAGGCTGGGAACAAGTCAAGGGCATCTGAGTTCACTCTGCTCAACACAGGGTTAATGACATCAGAGCAATAGGCAAAAGAAATTAAGGGCACTCTCACTAGAAATGGAGGGGGAAATGGCCTCTGCTTATAGATAACAGGATCCTGTATGTAGGAAACCCTCATGATTGCATGAAAAGCTTACAGAAAAATCAAGAGAACTATGCTATAACGCCAAAAGAATGAAATACTTAAGAGTTAACTTGAGAAGGGAGGAAACACCTTGTACAGTTGAAATTACAAAATGTTCTTCAAGGAAATTAATGATCTATAGTGGGATCTGATGCCCTTTTCTGTCATGCAGGCATAGATGCAAGTAGAGCATTCATAAACATACATAAACAAATAAATCTTTAGCCGGGCAGTGGTGGCACACACCTTTAATCAGGCAGGCGGATCTTTGTGAGTTCCAGGCCAGCCTGGTCTACAGAGTGAGTTCCAGGAAAGGCACAAAGCTACACAGAGAAACCCTGTCTCAAAAGACTAAAAAACTAAAAGAAAAAAAAAAGGAAATTAATGAAAGTTCAAATAAAAGGAAAGAAATCCCATTTCATGGATTGGATAATAATATTATTTAAGATGTTAATACTATCCAGAATGAGCTATAGATCCATTGTCTCTAACAAAACAGCCATGATTTGGTTTTAGCAAGAAATAGAAAAGACGATCTTATAACTAATGGAATTATAAGACTCTCTAATTGGCCAAAACAATCTTGAAAAGGATAAATACAGTGAGAGACCTCACATTCCTGGTGTCAAAGCTGAAAAACAAAGCTACATGGTTGTAAAACAAAATACAGACACATAGATACCAGCTGAACTGGCCAACACTGGAAATACTAACAATGCCAAATGCTGGCAAACCCCGAGGAGAAAGAACACATTCTTCTCTGGAGGGAATGTGAAATAGCACAGCCACCTTCAGAAGACAGGTGGGCAGTTACTTAGGAGACTAAACACACTCTTACCACCTTATCTGGTGATAATACTTCTTGGTGTTTGTTCAAGTAAGTTGAGACTATGTCCACACAAAATCCTGAACACAAGTGTTTATCGCCAGTGGCAGACTCCTCAATAGGTAAATGGATAGACTGTGGTACAGACAGGAGATGAGACTTTGGGGATAAAGAGCCATTGGCTTTCAAGCCTTGACAAAGTGTAGAGGAACCATTGTGCACACTGCTAAATGAAAGAAGCCAATCTGAAATGGCTACATAATGTATCTTTCCCATCATAAGACATTCTAAAAAAGGCAAAACTGTGGCCAATCTGAAATGGCTACATAATGTATCTTTCCCACCATAAGACATTCTGGAAAAGGCAAAACTGTGGCGATGATAAAGCTATCAGTGGAAGTTAGAGGTTGAGAGAGAGAGAGAGAGAGAGAGAGAGAGAGAGAGAGAGAGAGAGAGAGAGAGAGAGAGGAATCTAGAGCACAGAGGATCTTCAAGATAGTGAAACTGTTGTTGGTACTATAATGATGAGCATAGGTCACCATTCATTTCCCAAAGCCCATAGAATGTAAACACCAAGAGTGTCCATGAACACATGATCAAATGAACTTACAAAGACCACTACACACTCAAAACACACCATCACTGCCAGTCTGTGTTTACACTGTTTCTTTCTTTTTTTTTAATACTTAAGTTTTTTAAATTTATGTGCATTGGTGTTTTGCCTGCATGTATGTCTGTGTGAGGGTGTCAGAAGCCTTGGAACTGGTTACATACAGTTGTGAGCTGCCATGTAAGTGCTGGGACTTGAACCTGGGTCCTCTGGAAGAGCAGTCGGTGCTTTTAACTGCTGAGCCATCTCTCCAGCGTCTACACCATGTTTCTTAATGACTTACTAATGTGTGTAGTGTCTACACTGTGTGTAGTGTCTCAGCCTCATGGCGGTCTTATGAGAAAAGTGGCACCATGAACCCTGTTTACAGACTGAGGAAACAACACTTTGGAAGGGTAAATCATTTCCTCCAGGACACAGGGCTAGTAAAGGCAGAGTTCAAATCCTGATCTCCTGGATTCCAAGACCCAAGCCATTCATGGTAGCATGCACCTGTAATCTCAGAGCTCAGGAGGCAGAGGCAGGCAGGTCTCTATGAGTTTAAGGCTGTCCTGATGTACATAGCAAGTTTTAGGCAGCCTGGCATACACAGAAAAACCCTGTCTCAAAAATCAAAACAAAAGATTAACATGGTTGGTGAGATGGCTCAGTGGACAAGCTCTTGCCACACAAGCCTGGTGACCTGAATTCCACCTTTGGAACCCACAGGAAGGTGGAAAGTTGTCCTCTGATCTCCACATGTACTCCATGGCATGTGCACCCATGCACACCATTTAAAAAGACTTGACTCCGAAACCAAAGCTCCTGAATGTTCACTGTTGCCTGGATGTGCATACTCATGGTCTGTGTGATCTTAGACTGGAAACTCCAGGACCGGGAGCTCAATATGAGGTCCTTGTGCTCACAGATAAGCACCCAGAGAACCAGGAATGTTAAACACATGGGGTTGTTCCTTCAAAGGTTACCAGATGGGTTAATTGTACTATCTGTGTAGCTGAGACCACATTGGATTCTCCCCCAGATCCTTAACATGAGCTCATTTTTCTGTCAATCTGTAGAACCTACCTTTGTGAAAGGTGTCACATGTAGCCAATCTACAGAACCCATCTTTATAGACGATGTTACATGTACTTTTATAAAGAGTTTTGATGCAGTCATGTGCACATGGAATTGATTTTATTATCACCAGGAAAGTTGTGTTGTGCTTAAGTATTCCTAAAATAAACTACCCAGGGTCAGACTCCCGAAGTTTGAACCAATACCGGCTACTTAGTGGTGTTGAACCAAACTACCTTCTTACCTTTCACAGACTGTTTATTCTGCAGGCCATGGTGATTGCAGAGACAACCCCCACCACACACACACACACACACACACACACACACACACACACACACACACACACACACTCAGTAAACTTTTTCCCTTTTATAAGCAAAGAGCCTCTAGTATCTCATCATATTA